CGTTTATATCGCTGTTTATTTTCTAGGTCTTATCTTAAGGCTTCGTCGTTAACTAGTCTCGACGATCTTACGAATTACTCATTATTCTATACGTCGAAAGATCTAGCTAAGAACTATAGCTTCTAGAGGTCGTCGTCGCCCATTACGAAAGAATTCGTTATCGAGATTAGATTACCGTCCTAGCCTACCTTAAAGTCGAGGGCTAGCGTCCTAGGTTTCTTCTAAGCCCTTATTAACGCGAGTACGGACTTCTTCATCGTCTTATACTCGCCTAGCCTTTTAAAGAGGCTAAGTATATAAGCTTAAACATCGTAAATATATCTCGATTCTTATCGAAGTTAGAAGTAGTCTATACGACTATTTATACTCTCTTACCGACGTAGCTATTCGTTAAACCTACAATATAAGTATCCTCGTCCTTTTCCTAGACTAATCCTTAAGCTACCTTCTAAAATGGTCTTCCTAAGATGAAACGATACGTTAGGTCTATAACATTCGTTATATAGACATTTATTAAGACCTCGATTCTAGCGATGCTAATCATAAAATCTTTAATTATTTCTATAAACTTTTCTCGGTCGCCGTTAAAGCCTACGGCGTCGTAAATAAACTTAGCTTTTCGTATATATTGAGATAGTTTCATCTCTTTAACTAGGGCGAGGATCATTAGATTAATCTCGGCTCTAGTATCTAGTAAGGAGTCTTTATATCGGCCTCTTATCTTTATAAGTAGATAGGGGTACTTACTATAGTATAGCCTTAGGCGAATCGAGCGATTCACTAATAAGTTTATTTACATCGTACCGACTTTAGTAGTAGATTTCTCTTTCGCTTACGTAAGTCTTACGTCGCTATCTCTCGAGGTATAACCCTAATGAACGGACTCTTACTTATCTTCGTCGTAATGCCAATATTTACGGAAGAACCACTCGTCCCGAACCTCTTTTATCGATAGTAAGTTCTCTATTCGAATTAAGATCTCTTAGTTTAATAGATGATTTACGATCTTTTCGGTACTATTTAGATTCTATAATAATACCTTTCGAAGAGGCCTAGGCCTAGGCGGTCCGTACGTAGCCTCTTTTATAGTTCGGGAACGTAATAATATCTAACGAGGCTAAGAGGGCCCTAGTGAATCTCTTATTATAGTATTCTAGGAGATTAGATTACGTAACCGCTTATTCTATACATTATATAGGGAAATTCTCGACCTCTAATTAGTCGAGCTAATCGGATTTAGCGATTTATTTACGATCCCGTTATATACGATTTCTCTATTGAATCTCGCCCGTCGCGTTATATATCGTCTCGGTTCTTCTACCGGGGGTTCGTAAGCCCTAATTCGAGAGTGTTTCGCTTACGTATATTCGTCTTATTAAGAGGCTAAGCGCTTTCCTAGGATATCTACGTAAGCTTTACTCTAGGGCTAGTCTACATAAATTTCTTTTAGATCTATAGTATTCGAGATACGGGAATTATCTTCGGAGTCGTCTAGGGCAGCGTAATTAGATCTCGATTCGGCTACGTAAACAATACTTAATCTCGCTTCTAGTGACGTAGAATTAGGGTCTCGTATACTATAAGATTATTCGGACGTAACTTCCGAATTCTTATCGATCTCTCGCGCAACTCATTCTAATCTTTCTATCTTTATCTCTCTTATAGAAATTAGTAGAGTAGATAAAGGACGATCTTAATCTCAGAACTTTCTAAGAGCGATCCTATATTTCGAATTAAGATATAACGCTCTCATAGCTTTCTAGTATACTTACTAAGGGTTATCTCGTAGTACGTATCCCGGCTAATTATAAAGAAAATAATTTTCTCTAGAACTACTTAAGTTCGAACTTCGTCGACTAAGCTATCTATCGTAGTACTACAATATTTCTCCGAACCGAACCGAACGATCCTAGAATTACTAGCCGCGTAAGAATTAGATCGCTTTCTAAGGAACGCTCTTTAATATCTTAATTAGTCGAGTTATAAAGTCTAAAGTAATAGCGTTCCGCGTTTAGATCGATAGTGTTAGTGCTCTTATTAAACGAAATAATTTCTTCACCGATTAATTATTTCTCTTAGAGATAAAAGATCGATTTATTAGCGACGAAGTATTTCTATCGAACTTCGTTTTACTATTCGTACGGTCGTTACGACGACGTTATTCTTACGATTCTTTCTTTCGAACGGCTAAGGGTCGAGTCTCTCTTTCGTACGTTAGTTCTTAGAACTTCTCGTCGAGCACTCCTTACGTAAATTTCTTATTTTCATTATTAATATTCTATAGTTCTTTTATTTAATTCTAGTATTTTTAAAAGTTCGAATTCTTCGACTTTCGATTTATTAAATTCTATTTCTTTTAAATCTTATCTATATAAGTCTTTAGTAATTCTAATAAAAGAAGACGATAGTAAGTATAGTTAGTCTCGACTTCGATTTTAATTAGATAAGTCGTAGTCTTACGAAATTAACGAAGATATAGTTCTAGACTTTAAGACTTCTTTCGTCGATACTTCGCGAGTATCTAAAGATATTAAATACTTATTATTCGCTATACTTCGTTCTAATCTTTATATCTATTTAAGATCTTCTCTTTAAACTTTTTCTACTTTATTACGTTATACTTAGTAAGCTCTTTATAGCGTTCTTTCTCTACTTTAAATATAAAGCGAATAGATCTACGAATATATTCTTCGCTTAATATAATTTAGTTATATTTATATAATTCTTTAAACTCCTCGAAGAAAGAGATAGCGTTCTTCCCATTAAAGTATAGAAGATTATTACTTTCGTTTAAGCTCTAAAATATTTCTCTTATTAATATTACGATAAAAGAAACGTATAACGATTATATCGTCGAATCTAGCGTCGATAGATCTTATAAGCTAATACTTAATATCGTAGAAGGCTCTAGCTTTCCTTTATTATTCGATCCTTCCGTAGACGATATTTTTCTTTATTAAATTATTCTCACTTCTTCTCTTATAATTAAAATAGTATAAAATCTTAATAGCGAAACTAAAAGATCTAGATATTTTATTATTTTTAGTACTTTTATTATTATTTTTTCTCTTCTTCTCTTTATCTCTTCACCGACTTTCTCGTCGAGCTTCTTTCTTATCTTTACTAATAATTTCTATTAAAATTCTAGATTTACTTCTCGACTAGTAGCGCTCTAACTTCGCTTATTTTAGTGAGTTTAGTCTAACCGCTTATTTTTATTATTTCTTAAGTAGATTTACGTTCTTCGACTTCTTCTAAGCTTCTTAAGTTAGGAGTTTTTAGAATTAAACGTATTCCTACATTTCTAGGAGATACTTCTCTTCTATTTCTTCTAGATAGTCTAAATAGTCGTTAAGTCGTTAATCTTCACCTTATATAGTGGTAGTAAATATATATAGCTAGTAATTCTAAAAGGCACCCCGAGTAGCGGTCTCTATAAATAGCCAGCGTAAACCGCTCCGTACAGCGGGATAGACTTACTTAGCTAGTGATCTAAATGATATACTCTGCGCAGCGGTTCTATATATATAGCTAGTTTCTTTAGATTTAGTTAGATAGATAGGTAGGTAGTTCTTTAGTTCTATTAATCTAGTAAGCAGTTTATTTTAGTTATTTTTCGTAATTTTCTCTCACCGCTCGTAGAGAGACGCCTATCTATAAGTATTCGTCGAAGATCTTATTGGTGGCATCACTGAACTAGGGCGAGGCTACTAGCTATAGGCATTAACTCGTACGGCGGTGGGTATGGTCTCTTCTCAACGCGCACACTTAACTAGGGGAAGTCCTCTCTGTTGGTAACTTAGTTGCTTATATATTGTATAAAAGATAGTCCCCTAGAACTATATAAGAAGAATCATAGTCTAGGGTCGGCGCCCCAGCTAATCATAACGCTATTCATCACTTCTAACTTCTCTCATTACATTAGCTTTATCGTTTTCTTAAACTCTATAAATATTTCGAATAAATTAATAGTTTTATCTTCTCTATCGTCGCCTTCGTTTTCTATATAGTTCTTAATGAAAGGTCTAAGCTATATCTTAGTATCTTCTTCGAAGTAGCTTCCTATGAAAAGAATCTTCTATAAGTTATTCTGGAAGTTAGTGAAGTTCATTAGAATATATATATCTATATAGTGAATAAAGAATATAAGTTTAGATTCTACGCCGTTAAAGGACTTAGATAGATTACTAATCTTTCCCTTACTAACTATTAATGGTACGTCTCTTAATGAGCTTACTATACTCGTTCTATACGTCGGTGACGGTGCACTAATCGTGATTCTCGGGGTGCCCGGTGTTGGTCTTAGTGTACTTAAAGTTATCGACATCGTGTTATCGTTTAGTGATAGTCGTGTAGTACGTTGTGTAAGTTCGTCTATGGGTAAGGAGGGTCGGTTCGGTCTACTCATAGAGGTTGCCTTTCGCAACGAAGGTGGTAGCCAAAGTATTAAGGATTCCTACTGATCCTAACTAGATTAGGGTTCTTAGTAACAATCCTAGAATAGCATGAGCTGATTGAGGAAGACACAAGGTATGAGCAGAGTTCCCTGTTACTAAGAACTGTATAGTTCAGTAGATAATATGAGTTAGCTACGGAGAGAGTGTAACTATCTAGGGTAATGAGGGTGTATATATAATGCTCGTGCTCTGTGCGCTCTGTGCGCTCTATGCGCTCTGTGCCAACAGGGCCAACAGGGCATATCACGTGACCCAGCCTTGCTCCTCCGTGGATCCTTCCAGGTGTCCAATGAACGTGATGAGTCGCGTCCGTGCAACTCGTGACCGGTCTCTCTCAAGGCTGTGTCTAACACGTATGTGGATAGATTAATGAATGTAATTGTAGAACTCTCGGATCCTAGCATTTAAAAGCTATAACAGTGCAGTATAATTACTAAACCACCATCCTCCACCTTTACTCTTATTCGTAGTTAGTGGCCTTATACGAGAGGAACCAGCCTCAGATATCGTATGACTATGAGTCAGCACATCTAACTTGCGCTCTCACATCGTTGCTCCTGCTTGAGCGGATAAGTTCTGAAATTGTTGCAAATATGTCAAAGGAGTATTGGCGGGCAGAACACGGCCTATCGTTTCGAATTCGGTCTTCATTTTACTGAGGATTCCTGGTGACATCTCGGATGCTCTTTCTAGTGCTTGCAATATCATATTTGGCGTTGCTGGAGGCGGTTGGCCCACTAACACATCGTAGAGGCTAATTCTGACTTCTGTTCCAGAGGGTGATTGGTCCCGTTCCGGGGAAACTGGGGAGATGTTCTCGCATCTTCTGCAAATCGCCTCTAGCGCTCCCAGTAAGACTTTTACGGTGCCCCCCCGGCCGACGGCGCGATCTTGGAGATCGGTCAGAGCTGCGGCCACGAGCGAGTGAATTTTGTTGGCAATCTCGGCAACCTGGGCGACGATAAACGAAGCGTGTGCTGGAGACGAGGGCTGTACTTCTAGTCCAGGTGCCGTATGATGGGGTAGCTCATCATACCGGTCGAATTCTTGTTGGAATCGCCTCCGTAGCTTTTCAGCAAATAACTGAGCTCGCGTCTCGGTAGGTTGACACCTATTAGCGAAGTCCCAGCATATGGGGTCGTGCACGATCCACCGCATGAATGTTGCCCATAGATCTCCGGCGACAGTCCATTCGAAACTCGGTCTTGTGCTTTGTTCCACCGTGATGCGTTGATACGAATCCGGATCAAACTCCGAGGGCAGGGTATGCAGATCAAAGGACGAAACGATATCCCGAGCATCCCTTTTTCTTCGATCGAAGTTCATCAACTCGAAGTTGAGATCGGAAGGTAAAGAACTTCTCGAGGATGATTCCGGGAGGCCCGACATGGTGTGAGTGAGATACTGGAGAGGGGAGAGCGGCGGATAGGCGTACAGTTGTTAACCCATGGAACGCTGCTCCGGGAGGCAGTATACAGATATTTATCTTCCAGGGCAACTGAGGACAAGACAGAGAGAAAGTCGCAGGCAGTACGCCGATGAATTGTGCTTACCCATTTTATCAAGGCAACGAGGCCCAGCAGGCCGTGAAAGCGTCGTCCCGTTAAGCCTACCGCAAGGCAGACTGAGGAGTTAACAAATCGGTGGTCGTAAGACATCCTTCAAATAGATCTAGGAAGTAGAAGCTGATACAAATTTTACGATACGACTCACGCTTGCTGAGAATACTTCGTGCACAGGATGAGAAGACATTGGATCACGTGATCGCCTATAGGATATCGTGGCTGAGCCGGTCGTAAAGGAGGTCGCTGCCATGGCCGCAGATAACAGCGCAAATTTCTAGGTAGGCAAGAGTGCGGCTGATGAATTGGATAGAGCCTGTGTCGTATATTTGCCCAAATCACCGCCATGTCGATACTAGGTTGGTGTCCGCCTTTCGGTCACATCCAGTCTATCGCACAGGAGATTCGAAACACAGGCACGCTAATATGGCGCGTAAAGGAACTAGCTAACCGAGTCATCGGAGTCCCCAGGCGGCGTGAGGTGTTTCATGACATATTTGCTGGATCCTCGTGGCAATGTCGGACGGGGGTTCAGCGAGGCGTGAATTGGGTCCACAATGCCGAGAAAGTACCAACGACATCGGGTGGTCTTTCGATCCCATGTCGAACCCTTTGTTGGTGCCTTGAGGGTTTTGGTCCGGAAGAAATGCCAACATCACAGAATTGTCAAACTCGCGGCTGTTGGACGGCCATCAAGATCAATTACTAGACACGAGGGAGCGATTCAGGAGGGAGATAAGACAAGGGCTGCTGGTCACGGGCGATCGTGTCAATTCGTCAGCTGTGAGTCTCGACTCCACCAGTAGCGGCATTGCGGCGGCGGTGATCGTAACTCGACGGATAGTGCTGGACATGAGAAGCTCTATAATTTTCATAGATGATGGGCAGTGTAAGACCGAGAGCTGTGAAGTTGGTAGGTAACATTGATCTATATGGGGTGGTCTGGATGTCTGCTGATCGATATCAGCAGAGTGAAATATCTCGCACCGTGTTGCAGCGTCGATTTTGCCAGCGAAGTTGTCTTTTCGCGATGCGATACGATTGATTTCCGGAGAAGATTAGGGCTTCGGCTACCGTCTGGCAACGTTCACAGCAGCCATGAAATAGACTGAGCTGGTCGGTTAACCGATTAGCAAGATATTTGACTTGATCCCCGCGGTTAGTCGAATGAGCATCGTTGAGATCGGCCATGCTGGCGCGCTGTGGCTCAGCTGTCACCGCATCGTCGACGCCGCCGAGAGGCTGGCCATCGACAGTGGGCACAGGAGAGGCTAAATCGATTCTTGGAGATGGGGCAGACAGTGTCGCATTGGAGATTTTATTGACTGGTAAGGTCGAATCGTCCACTGCCGGGTCTAGGGAAGGTGTGGGAGGTAGGAAGAGAAGGGGGATTTCCCAGTGGTCGTCGAAATGCGATGCGAAAATTGTTGCACACAGAACAGTTGTGGATCTATCTTCTTCATGTGTCCTGTCCCCCTGGCTATTCAGAGAGAGTCTGCCTGTTTATATACACTTTGGCCTATAATCTGAAGAGCGTTCCTGAACCCTCCTATTCCGTCGCCATCCTATCACAGGTCTGCGAGAACAACGAGGTTGAGGTAGATTCCGCAGTTGGTGAAACGCCTAGCGTCTCAGCCTATCTACCGAATATAAATATTAGGTTAAGATACCGAGTACCGAGTATATATCTCCCTTTCCGTTACTTAGGCGCCTTTTTCTTGGCATTAATTAGGTATGCCTATCTTAACTAAGGAGACCGCCTATTACCTTCATACCCAGGGGCCTATTCTAGTTAAGAGAACACCCCCTCCCCGGTATGTAGCTAGCTGCTCTCTTTCGGCTCCATTCCTATAATGAGAATACTTCTACTAGATATATACAGCTTAGATTTCTCTTCGGAGCTACTTTCAGAGCATAATTTTTGGGTGCATTTATGGCTGTTTTTTCCTCGATTTTGGTGAGGCTACCATATAAATTGTGCGCCAAGAAAAAAGACGCCCAACAGACGGAAGAGATAAAGACGAAACCGGAAAAAGGAATAGTTCGTGGTTAACGGCCATCTCTGTAGCAGCCGTATTTGAGGTCCCTCAAAGCCTGCTACTATTCCCGGTCTCATCTTTTGCCAAATCCCTGAGTATGCGTTTCAGGGCCTTTCCCGTTGCATTCCGCGGAATAGCGTCAATGAAGGAAACCCCGCCTGACAGCTCCTTATACTTTGCCAATCTCTCCCGACAGAAAGATTTCACTATCTCCTCTGTCAAAACTGCGTCATCTGCTCCGGGCCTCCGCACCACATACGCCTTCGGCATTTCCACATCTGGTTCGTTCTGCTTCCTGACACCGATGACCGCAGCGTCTAGAATCTGCGGATGCGAGAGCAGGACTCCTTCGATCTCGGCCGGGGCTACCTGGAACCCCCTCACTTTGATTAGCTCTTTCTTACGATCGATGATGTACCATTTCCCTGTTTTAGTGGTACAGTACATCACGTCACCAGTTTTGAAGTACCCTTCCCCATCAATGGAGTCTTTCGTAGCGTGTGGACTATTGAAGTAGCCAGATATTATCGTTGGGCCTCGAATGCAAAGCTCTCCCGGAATGTCGAAAGCAGTAATATCGTTCCCGCTGTCGTCTATGAGCCTGCAAGAATGAACAGTAAGCGTGGATAACCGCGTCGTGGGCGGGGTCTCACTTGACGTCCAGGTTCGGCATCATACGCCCAACGCTGCCGGTATCATCTCGCTCAGGATAGTAGAATTTTGAAGCCACACAACTTGTCTCCGTCATGCCCCAGACCTGGGTGAAAGACGTCTCCGGCCCGAGAATAGTTTGAAGCGACTTTTGGTGTTCCTTGTCCAGCGGGCCTGCCCCACAAACGACCACTTTAATTGATTTCAGGGAATAATTGTGGAGGAATGGATACTTCAACACAGCAACCGCAACTGGTGGAACGAAGATCATTTCAGTGAGTTGATATTTTTGGATGGAAGAAAGGAAAGGCGCCATCTCGAAGCGTCGGAGTATGTAGCTTAAATCCCCCGATCGTAGAGGAGTGACATGAGCTACCGGAACCATTGCTGCATGGAACAGTGGGAGATATAAGAGGCGGCGAGGCTAGATAAACAAGATATTAACGCGCCTGTACTCTGCCCGCTTTACGTAGTATCGAAGACAAACCTCGTATGGAATTGGATAGGTTTCATTGACCAACGTGTGCTGTGCAATCAGATTGTAATGAGACAGTGCTGCGGCTTTTGGCAATCCAGTAGTCCCGCTGCTAAATAGCCTAGCCGCTGTCGTCCCTTTGGAGACTTGTTCGTCATCGAAGCGAATCCAATCTTTCTCACCGTGGCCCAGGAGCGCCCTCCAGGATGAGAACCCAGCTGGGATCGTTTCGTTCTGGATATCGAAGGCCCAGATGTTGTTTTTCGATATATCACATTCTTTTGCAGCTGAAACGACGGCTAGTAGCAGATCCGGTTCGGCAATGATAAACCTGGTGCGGGATGTCTTGAAATGATGAGCAAGTTCGAAGTGGGTGTATGCTGGATTGGTCCCGGCAAAAATTGCACCAGCAGCAACGATGCCCAGAAAAAGCATCGGGTAATAGATCTGGTCAATTCAGCCAAGTTCCAATTGATATGATGAGCCTTAGACACAACAGACATTGTTGAAGCTGTGGACGCAGACGCAGTCTCCAGGTATCACACCAGCGGCGTGGAAACCTGCTGCCAGTTTTCGGATTATCACCCGAGCTTGCCTTGCAGAGATCGACCTTGACGGGTCAATGGCATCGATATAGACCTAAATAGTTCCAGTGGGATATGGTTCAGTGAGCTGTGGCTAAGAGTCTGAGGATGACTCGTTCCGGAGTGAGAACTCACCGGTCTATCTTGATTGAATTTTGGCTTGTCGAACATCCAGGACAAGATGTCCTTGTTAGGAATTGGCACAAACTTTTGAGCAAGAAAAGGCATCTTGAATTCTGGCAAATACAGTAAATGTTGTTGGCTGGCGAAGGTGTGGCTAGACTTTACTATATCATCCCAGAGGCAATGAAGGCACAGGTCCAGCCCTCACGTACGTGGATCAGTAGTGCGCCTCGGATGAATTTGTATAGCCAGGTCCCGATGTACCCCAGATTTTGGAATCGAGAACATCTCCACTCAATGTCCATGCCATGTTAGTATTTGTCTATATCTCAAAACCGATATCCAGAAATTTTCTGGCTGTTGAGCATAGATCTCACACGTCATTGGTGCCAAATCCCAACTTAGGGCCTTCAGCTGACAGGGGAGATTTCCCAATTCATTCGGCTACTAAAATACGCCGAGGTTCCTTCGGCTGTTGCCATTCTTAATCAAGAGGCATATTAGTCCTGGTTAGGAGTAGTCTGATCGCGATGAATGCGGGGTCGGCAAACCGGAGATTAACCAGCTGCAGGGAGTACTTGGTAAACAACCACATTTTAATTTTGCCAACCCAACTCATTGGAGAGCAGTATCCCGGTGCCTCAATGTGGAAGGGGATGGTACGAACCTCTTCATCAGCTATGCACTCTTTCCCAATAGGCAGCGTGGTAGGATGGCTGAGCCTGGTAAATCGTGGTCCTTCACAAGGAGAGCCGGAAGAGCCTGCTTGAGCTGCAGAGCCCGTAAGGTCAAATGTAATGTGGAAGAGCAAGGGCCCCCATGCAGCAATTGCATCACCGACAGTGTCACTTGCCATGTGCAGAAGAGTAAGAGAGGCAGGTACGATCCAAAATTTCATTCTCAAGATGCCTTGTGCAGGAAGCTGCTGCTGAGGACGTCTTCTGCAGGAAGGCGTTAAAAATCAAGCCCGTAAGCAACATCTCAACAAGGCCAGAGGGTCAACGTCCTCCTCGCGTGTCCGGCGATAACGAGGTCTCTGTTATTGATAACGTCTACCACGTTCCCGAACGGAGACATACCGATCAATGGTTGCCAGAGTACGACACAATTCATGGATACATTACTGAAAGGACTGCAAACCAGCGCTCACACCCAGAATCGAGTAAGTTGGAACAAATCTTGTATGTTCTTAGAGGCGCTGATAAGAATGGTAGGAGCAACAAACACATTACTGACAGCTTCAAAAAACGATGAGCTATTACAAAACATCCACCATGAGTTGACGTACTTTTCACTAATTCAACGCGTTTCCGCGACAAATGATGCATCAAGCCCTCATTGCACTTTGGAATCAGTTACGATCCCTTCCACTTCAAGTGAGACAGCTTGTGACCGGCTCCCGGAGTTTGTCAATCCCCTTTCTTCTCAGCTGACTCTGGATGACATCAACTATATTTCCAGAAAGGGCGCCCTGGATATACCTCGAACAGAGTTTCTCGATGCACTTATCCGGGCGTATGTCCGATACTTCCATTGGTTCATGCCTCTTTTGGATCAGAAAGCTTTGTTAAATTGTGCAGGTGGCCATTGGCGTCCAGGGATGCCGAGAATCGGCATTTTGCTATTGCAGGCCGTGATATTCATCGGTCTAACATTTGTCGATATACAAGGAATCCACGAAGCTGGGTTCGAATCGAGAAGAGTTGCGAGGAAAGTACTGTACGAGAGAGTGAGAGTAGGTCAAGGGAGTGAATTTATCGGATTACTCTAACAGTGTCCGCAGCTGCTCTATGAGCTTGACGTAGAAGAAAGCCGCGTCGCCATCATTCAAGCGACCCTTCTCATGAGTTTCTGGAATGAAACTCCAGGCGACAATAAAGGCGGCTGGCATTTTTTGGGTATCGCCATATCACTAGCCCTTACACTTGGACTTCACCAGAAGCAAACGTTCTCAAGACCCTCCATGCAGAAACATCTCTTAAAAAGGATATGGTGGTCGTGCTATATAAGAGACAGGATGCTTGCCCTTGGGATGTCCCGGCCACTCAGAATTAAAGACATTGATTTCAATACTCCAATACTGACACTGGATGATTTCGATCTGGAGGACAGCTCCACCGGTGACCCGCAGAACGAGATTCTCGAGCTGCAATGTCAACAAAATCTTGCCGAAATGTGCATTACAATGGCACAACTCTGTGTTGAAATTGGGGTAGTAATCGATCTACACTATTCCATCCTTCCCAGCGATGATTTCGATCATTCTACAGAGGATCTTACTGGCCGAACTACGACGATACTGTATCCCAAGTCACAGCCAGAGAAGCAAGAGTTAGTCGAGATATGTGACCAATCACTGCAAAGGTGGTTCAACAATAGGCCTATATCAGCCATCTTTCAACCTCTCTATTCAAAGGGTATGGCTGAATCCGCTGCAGTGATAATGACTCACCAGGCTTTCTTGCATGTCTTCTTTTGTGGAACGCTCTCAGCGCTCCATCGTCCACAGGTAGATCTCCGGAAGTCCGATGCTAGAAATGTGAACCAGTCGGAGCAAGTCCGGGAGCAATCCAGATTAAGGGTGGAAGAAGCGACCACGGAAATGGCAAAAATCAACTTCTACATTCACAGATTCCGTCTAGGTTCTTTTCTCCCTCCAACCGCTGCTACTTTGGAGTTGCCGGTCATTATTACCCACTTGAAGCATATACAGTACCAAGAGGGCCAGCATCTTGAAACTTGCTTAAAATCGATATTCTATTGTCTGAAAGTGGTGGAGCAGATGCAAGAGCTCTATGTTGGTGTTGATTTAGTGGTCAGATTTGCCGCAGATCTCATGAGGAGGGCAAATATCACCGTGATAACTGCACAGGATACGAGAATCATCGGAGTCAGCTATCGCGAATGCCAGTATCAGCTTGATGGAACAGCAAGTGGCGAGCCTGATGCGAATCTGGAGATCTTCCTCAGCAAGCAATGTCCTGTTAGAACTCTTTCACATTTGTCTATATCTCAGTCATCGCGGGACAGTTCTACTTGGCCGAGAACGACTCCAAGCAACGGTCAGGCGGATGATACGGGAGATGACCTACCAAAAGCACATTGGAATTGTTGGGATGATGTATTTCTTACGGAGAGTCTGGATCTGGAAGCCATATTTCAGTTGATGGTTGATTTCGACAGTCTCAATGAACTGGCTTTAGTCTAGCCCAACACTCTCAATGCGGTAGGTGCTCATCATTCTTACGACTATATCTTCACTGGGAACTCTTGGGCAGAGAGTGGACGCGGAAGACATGGATAAAAGAATAGTCACCGAGTTGGTATATAAGCGCAGCATCTCTCATTGAAGCGGGCTTTCATCAGTTTCTGCTTGTTTGTGTACAGCGAGCCATACGACTAGATATCAGTCCACTCATTGAGTGTCGGGAGGTTCAAAACAACGCCTCAAGCGAGAAAGGGCAACGCAAACCCATTAAGCAGTGCTTCACAATTGACTGTTTAGCAAGTATCGATGTAGCTGTAGCCAACAGCACATACCCTCCATTAGTCGGCCATACAGTTGAGGTGCACTAAACGAAACAACTACCATCCAAACCTCTGCGCGGACTTGGTTGCAAGAAAAACAGCAAGCGAGTGTGAAAGTCCGTGAGCGGTCCAGACTTTCCACCCCGCCCGAGACCAACAAGTCGAACTTAGTTCTCTAGTCTGCCATCCGGCTCACTCCGATTGGGAAATTGTCGCTACAGCAAAGACTAGTGTAGCCTCAAAGATTATTCTCAGATGCATTAATCTCAAGCGGTTGGATTCATCTTCCTTGCAGCACGGTTACGTCCTATCAAGGCTTTCGTGCCTCAGTCCAATATATTATTATTGATATTTACTATTGCCCCCTTTCCCCTCGAAATCCTCTGTTCTTTATAGTTGGTGATCTTATCAGACTTCTTGACACGGATTCAGAAACAACCTTAGCTTTTGATTCGCTGACTTGGGTTCATCACGCAGCTCTCCACACTCCGCCAAAAATCCGGCGTACAAGGCGCAGCACCATACTAGAATTCACACGTTGAGAAATCAGTGTGTTTATCGTATTGATTTTGCCTCTTCACGGTATACCGGAAAGCTTATGGAGAGATGAGCTAATCGGAGTCAGCCGGGCTCCATCGACTGTAACTAATGACCAGACTCATTCTTTCAAGAAGAGTCAGTCCACAAAATATTCGAAATATGAAACATGTATAAACGCGAACTAGGACGCAGCCTGAATACAAACCGTGATACCGCGAGACATTTGCAGAGACTTAAGTTTGTCACGCCCGAGGCTACCATATATCCGTGAATAAATGTGTTTACTTCGAGCTGGGATATCGACAAAATGCCTTCAGTCTACTCCAGCCTACGACTACCAGCTCCCCCACAACAGATTTGGGATATCTTGACCGACTTCGAACATTACTCTGAATGGAATCCCGTGATCCAGAGCATTTCTGGTGAGCAATGCAGTAAGTCTTCCCATTTATTCTGATAAGTTCAGGACATTGGAGACCCAGGCTAAGTTAGTGAAACAGCAAATGGCCGGCTCCACCTACAGATGAAGAACCCACGAACTTCAAAAGGTAGTGAAAATGGTGTACAAATTTCATTATTCATATGCTGATCTAGTACTCTAGTAAGAAAATCCGATCCCATCATAAAGAACTGGTCGCCTGTATGCCACCTACATTGGCGGGCACGGCCTTTCGATCTCCCAGGTTTATTTACCGAGTATCATCACTTTATCCTCCAGCCGAGCGCAGATGGGATGAGCACCGACTTCGAGCATTTTGAGCTCTTCTCGGGGATCTTCGCATATCTCATCAAATACTTCAGAAAAATCAAATACTCGGACAGGGAAGATGCTTTCAACGCGATGAATGATGCCTTGAAGAAACGAGCAGGGCATCCAAGGAAGTAGGATGCTTTGGAAACTTTGACACATTTCAGTAAAAGCAGAGTTTCTGGATTTTTAGGCAGTGTATTCTGGTAGTGTACCTTTCATCCTGATTGTCGTGAGTATCCTCACGGTCGCAAGCTAGTTTTTGCTCAGAACTCTGAAATATACTAGGTCCGGAAATCAGGCACTCCGACGTATGCCAGATTCGGTATCTAGAATTGCAGCCTTTTGAACCTGCAGCTGAGAACCCTAATTATTGTTTTTCTTCCACAGGCAGGCGGGATGAATAGTACTAGAAAGTGACGGGGTTTTTGGGAATGGGGTTTATCGATTGGATTTAAATGATGGAGATTTCCCGATGGGGTTTAATATAATATTCTTTAAATGATGGGGTTTTCCATTGGTCTGCCTTTCCACGTGGCTTGGAGAAAGTCGGAGTAAACCTGCTGAGATAGCTAGCCTCGTCTCGCTGCTCATTAACCCCAGAATTCTCCGTACTTTTCCTTGTCCCATGGGGATGTATCGGTATGTTCCGGCTGGTACTTCTGCACCCCGCAATAGCTTATCGAGGTGATTATGGGAAAGAAACGACGAATGATTTTATTTGGCTCCATATATTTATGGATTATGGCTTAGGAAGCTACTGCAGGACTTGGCTTTTGGGGTACCCTTCTGCCCTAAAGCTAATTCTACCCGAGTCCCGAGGGTACGGCTAGGTACTTCGTGGGGAAAAAGGGGGCAATCTAAAGGTATATCAACGAATATCCACTCTACTACCATGCCTCTTCTTTTGCCGCAACTCGAGTTCTCGTCCCTGAGTGTGGTTGAGCCCTAGCAGTACATTTCTTTACTGATCAACATGATTTCTTTAGTACAATTTGGGGTAAATGACTGGACAGCATCTGCAGTTTCTCAGCGGCTAACACAACAGGTAGATCGTCCTCTTTGTCGGCCTAGGAAGTATTACCTATGGCTACGGGTCCAGTATCATCGCTACGACCACTGGGCAGCCTACTTTTCTCTCCTATTTTGAACTTGATACAAGGTCAAACTCAGCTGATCTCTTGGGAGCTATAAACGGCCTGTTCTCCGTTGGTGGACTCTTTGGTTGTATCTCATGTTTCTGGATTCCTGACAAATGGGGTCGCAAAAAGGCGATTCTCTTTGCCTCTTTTACGTCTATTATCGGTAACGGCCTGGCAGCTGGGAGCGTGCACATTGCCATGTTTATCATTGCCAGATTGATCACCGGCTTTTCTGTGGGAGCCCTGGTGAGTCTCGTTCCATTGTATCAGAGCGAGATTTCCCCTCCCAAGATTCGCGGTCTTCTTGTGGGCATGCATGGAACTGGTATTGCTACTGGCTACGTCGCTGCTAGCTGGATCGGCTTTGGGTTTTATTTTGTCAGCGCAAGTGGCACCCAGTGGAGAATGCCCTTGGCGATCGGGGCGTTATGGCCTCTCCTTCTTGCGGTCGGTGTACTATTGATCCCAGAGTCTCCACGTTGGTGTAAGTTGTCTCAGAGAACGAAGGCGTTGAACTACTGTCGGCTGATCGTACAAAGTGCTTACAAAGAACCGTCCTGATGAGGCCCTCAAGGCCTTCAAGGCTTGCCGAACCGAGTCTGGACCCCGAAACGACGAGCATGCTATTACCGAGGAATTTCACCTGTTGCATTCTCAAGTGATTGAAGAGATGAAGGACCATGTGCCCCTGAAGGAGTTCTTCACAAGGCCAGCCCTGCGCAAGAGGTGCTGGATCGGTTGGTTGACCATGGTTGCCGGTCAATGTACAGGAACAATCGTTATCAACAGTAAGCAAACACGACGGGAGGGCAGATGATTCCATACTGATACACATGCCAGACTACGGGCCTTTTCTTTACCGAAATCTCGGTTTCAGCGTTGTCAACCAGCTTCTAATCCAATGCGGCTGGATTACGGTATGTCTCCTGGGCAATGCTTTCAACGCCGCAGTCATTGATTACTTCGGGAGAGTTCGAATGCTACGTGAGTACAAACCTCTGGAATAACTGTTCTTGCTAATTCTTCCTAGTCTTCGGATTTTCTGGAGATGTTATTGCCCTCGCGGGCGAGTGTGCTACAGTCGCTGTCTACCAAAACACTGGGTCAGCCGCTGCTGCCAAAGCTGCCGTATTCTTTCTCTTCCTCCACATTGGATTCTATGGATGGACAATTGATGCCAGCACGTATATCTACGCGACAGAGATTTTCCCCAATCCTCTGCGTGCTCGCGGTATTGGAATCTCCTGTTCTGGTTTGTTCATGGCCGTTATCGTCTTTACCAGGTGAGTTTACCAGCAGAAGCGTCGGACACCCATTTTGCTGATCCATTCGGGATAGTGCCGCTCCGACGGCGTTCAACAAAATTGGCTGGAAATATTACCTCGTTTTCACTATCCTTACCGCTCTGAACGTCGTTATCATCTGGTTCTTCTTCCCAGAGGTCAGTTTTTCAATCCAGCCGTCCTTGCGAAAGTAGCTAACTGCGAGCTAGACCAAAGGCTTAGCCCTTGAGGATGTCGCCGAAATTTTCGGTGACGGTATTGTCCTCACAGACACCCGCGAAGAGCAGATCCACCAGCGCTTCAAGCAATCTCACTATCGCACCGAAGTCCTTGATGAAGTGACGCGTGACGAGGATATCCAAATTCATATGAAAACCGAAGAAGCCAAGGTTGAACATATACCATGAGAAGAGAAGCAAGGATGTCTTCCTGTGGAGGGCCTTGAGACTCAATATTTGAGCAAACTCAATCACCGAAAGCCGGAGCCTGGATGCTGAGGGGTGTATCGCGAGTAATGCCTAGTTTCCTCGTACTCGAGGTAAAAAGGGATAATAGAAGCAGCGACAAGAAGTAGGGTTGTCGGTACGTAGGAACAACAAACGTAAGCCTACTATCCACATGAAATTCGCCCTAGCTGCTTTCGCCCTGGAGACAAAAACCAGATTCTCTGATGGTGATGCACGAGCCTCTGCTGCGGTGCTGCATTCCCGTTGAGCCCGTCTAACTTTCAAGGTGGTGAATGATCTCCGCAAGAATGGTAATTATCGGACTTCAAAAGCCGAGGGATCCTAATTTCTGACTTAGGCAGTCACTGGCGAAAATCCCCATCCGTGTTTACGAACCTTGCGTTCACTGCAGACTTGTGAAGAATCGAGAAGATCGTCACCAGAAACAGATTGCGAGCTTTTGTCTAATCTCCCATGACTCCAGATTTTACTGCTCCTGTCCCTTGGCAAGACTTGTGCTTGCAGCGAAAGTGCACGCTTATGTCGATCGCCTTCTATGATAGTGAACGGCTCGGCCAACACTCTTGTTATGGAGGACATGCCGAAGTATAGCCATAGTTTTTCCCGGCTTGGTATCTTGATAATAATTGTTGTTGTGACCTAAACTTCACCTTTCGTCAATTTTATGAGCATCCTCTTTCTTCTTGTGAAAGCCATGCGATTATGGAGAAGGCTTCAGAAGGCTTACTGTCGCCAATCGCCCGTATAGCTCAATGCCCGCTTAGTGCGACCACGCGTGGGTGGAATTATGAGCGGTCCCACGACGCATCTAACGCTCGCCAAATACCGGAGACCCAAGATAACTTGCACACAGAGATCCCCAAACTGCGGGCTCTTGTGTGTGATCTCCGGGACGGTTTTGCAGGCTTTCCGGGCATACGGTCGCGATATCGTCCAAGCCCACAGGAATATCGCCGACTCTGCGCGAGTATCTAGATAAAGGGGGTTGAGATAATCTGAGGGACAGGATTTTGAGGGGATTGATGCCGATTGGCGGCTGATACAACCACAGAGATTCGACTACTTCGTGGACACTCAAGACTTCTTCCTGCGAATGCCTTCAGCCAAGCACGAGATTGTCCAGATGCGGCTTATCATCCTCCTAACCTAAGACTCGAGTAGCTGTATTCTCAGCATCGAGCCCAATGTCCGTTCTCAGCAACTGGGTCCGGAGACATCAAGAACGAGCGAAGTGAGCTCAAGCCTGACAATCAGATCAGATACCAAAACCTGAAAAGGTCGGCCCTAGTTTTGGAGATCGCCAACTCACAGCCGATGAAGATCTTAAAGATTAAGGCATTTCGGTACGTCCAGGCTGGAAGAGGGAACATTCGTTACGCTGTTGCTTTGAAGTTTATAGGGACTCACAGGCGGTTAATCTGACGATAGTAACACCCAAATTCACCTCCGGCGGCCAATCGACAGTTTGGACAGCAGAAATAACTTCTCGAGTACGTTGCACGTCTGCTGCAAGACTCGTCTATAAATAACCATGTACTAACTTCTGAGCACAGGCGATTCGAAAATGCGAAAAGAGAACCTGGTAGTGGCGCCGACCTATCAATTTTAGTGGGCCAGATTGAACCCGTTGGATAGTTGCCTGACTCCATTTATCGCGAGACCATCGTTGCTTCGGTCGAAGCGCTTTGCGAGATCATCAATCTGCTGAGATTCTGAGAAGGCAAGTGAAGAGGGTGGCTTCAGAGACATTCCTGCAGACTTCGGCTACGAAATTTTAGCCAGGCAGCACAATGTCGATCGAATTGGATCAGGAAAACGAGGATAGCCTCTCCATTCATAGAGATGAGCAAGGCAAGAGAACCACCGCTGATGATACCAGTTCTGATCACGAAAGGGAACTACTAGTGTGCCTGACCCACAAAGTCTGTACTGAGTATGGAATTCAGAATCGGCTGAATAAACCTCCAAGGATGGCGTTCTGAAGAATAGTGTGGTATTTCTACTGGGGTATTGCCTCAGTGGCTTCAAACTGGCGGTACACAATTTACTCCTTTGCGAGGCCCATCGAGCCTCGTTGCGATCTTAGCGACTGGTAGCACGACGTGGGCAACATCACACTCACATCGGAAGTACCCATAGTCGAAGTGTGCTACGAGGAAATTGAGGCAGCAAATGAATGGGCAGGTAATCAGCTAGGTTCCCAGACACTCGTCTGGAATGACAGATGCCTACAGAGGTAGCTGAGAGACAGGTGTAGTCGATTGCTAGGGGACCAGATTTGGCCCTTGTTGCTCAGGGAGCACTCAGTGATCTTCAGCAAAAGGCTCAGTTAAAGTTCAGACTGAGGCGGCCTATGGCCTTTAGATCCGTACCACAATGGTTAATTTCATTTCCAACACAACCACCTCAATATCCCTAGTGTACTAGGTCTCGGTCCGGTATTTCCCACCTGTCAATCTGCACGGAACACTCGATTCCGGTGGGTCGTCTTCTATGCAACCCAAAGTTCGAAATGATGCGGTACATCACTCTCAAGCGATCATTGCCATGCTTGTGTCCAAGCCGAAGCAAGTACAAAGAATGTCCTTGTTTACATGGCCGCTGACCTTTAGCACAGCAAGGAGCGTCGGTCTTCACAAGACCGTTTGCAGTTCTTCCAGAATTTCCCAAAAAGGGAAAGAGAAAAAAAACAACTTTCGTCTGAAAGACAGAGCACATCACGATATAGGAGTCTGCTCGGATATGCTACACAATCTGGATTCTGACCGCTGCTTCAGTTACACAAGTCACTTGACGAGACTGCGCCCCGGGGTCTGTCACCACGAGGCACTAGGAAAGAAGGCCTGTTGTCCAGGACCACAACAATACGGTTGGGATTGCTTCAATCTATCTATCATTCCAAAGTTCTTGTGCGGCCGCATAGCTCTGAGACAATCTATTTCATCAAGGGCGACTCCGAAACGAAGCCAATAAGGCCCGAAGCGGTCTAGCTCACTGATACCACTTGTGCAATGCTGCAACGCTGCCGAGTGTTGCATCGTGATAGCGTGAGTGGTCTCGGAATCTTGCATCGGTGGGCAACTGTCAGTTGTGTATACGTGCATTCAAGCCACTCGCCATTCCGCTACTGACTGATGCCCGTGGATGAGCGCTCTTCGCCTTCTGCGTATCATAGCGTTTCTAGTGAATAAACGATCCGATTGGCCTAGTTTAAGAGCTTCAAGAGGCAGTGACGTGATACTGGAAGCAGGGTCTGAAAGTATACGGATCGGGAACACTGTCAGAGACCAGAACTTGTCCCCAACCTTCTCTATATCCTGCTCAAGGCATTGTGAACATTCCTCATGAGAACGAAAGCCAATAACGACAACACTGCTGGACCTATTCTGGATCAAGAAGAGGAAGCAGTTGTCCTTGTTATGCAGCAACCGGTCCAGATTAGCACGCGCTCTTCCCTGGTCCCATTTGGATGCTTTCCAAGACCTCTCCCTATCCACGACAGAAGTTACATTTCAGTCCTTATCGCATCTACCAGGACAGTTGGGCTGCTGCAGCCTTGATGAAAGCCTCACTCAGACCGCTAGGGTACCTTCGGACACAGTCTCCGCTCTTCAGACTAAGATACCATCAGACCTTCTCATAGACATATACCTGCTCATCTATGCAGTGCGACATGGTTTTGGATCACTGGCAATTCGAGTCACAACCACAGTGACATAATTCTCGCAGTTCGAGTCAGGCCTTCTGGCCACATATTACCACTTTCAGAAGAGTTCAATTTCGCCTTCCACAGTAATACCCCTGCTTTCCCACGCTCGGCAGCGAGATATTGGCCCGATCCTCAATGGCACATGCACCCGATATTGGCCAGCCATTGCTCTGAGGGAATGTTTCTTTTCTGGCGGCTGGCGAACACAGAACGTGCAACACAAAGTCAGGAACCGCGTACACGTTCCTGCTTTCGGTGTGCAACGTCTCGGATCTTCCACGAAAGTATAAGAATCAGCAAGTTCCCAAGAAGTCATTCATCGAACAGCTCGACAGGATTCAGTCCGTCTTCCACTCGTTTCAAATAGCATTTGAAAAGGCATCAGGGCTTCTCATCCACCATGTATCGTGATCTTGTGCATTCGGCTCTGCTTGCGAGCTCTGCCCTGAGGTATGCTTCTGTCCACTGCGCTTCTTGAGATCTGCTCACACGAGTATATCTAGTATTTTTGCTACCGCGAATCCGGTACTCCCTCGTGGCGACTCTTCGACCGGTTGGGGAACTTCCACTGGCTGGGGCTACGGGTCTAGTGTTGGGAGCACACCCGTTGGAGGATGTTCAACGGGCCCCACGACTACCTTGACTGTTACGTTGCTGGGAGGCCCAAGTTCTTGCCCAGCTCTTCCGCCACCATCTACAATCACCGTGAGCACTTGTCCTGGGACCACCCCGGTGGGTGGAGTTACCGGCTGCTCAAACTCGCCTCCCTTCACAATTACGGTGACGACTGGAAGCCAATGCCCACCAACCACGCCAGTTGGGCCAGGAAACGTTTGCTCGACAGTGCCGCCCTCTACCGTCACTGTAGGCTCCAATTGCCCTCCAAGTCAACCATGCGGCGGACCATCAACAATTACTGTGACTGAGGGCCAGAACTGCCCTCTGCCCACTCCTGGAAGCACCGCCACTGTTACAGTGACCAGCCCATCAATTTGTCCCATCTGCCCGCCATCCAACTCCCATGTTGGCCCTTGTGCTACTTCGACCGTGGTAAGCACTCTGATCTCTACTACAACAGTAGGTGGTGGAATCTCAACAACCACCATTGTTAACCCGGCCCGGACCATTACCGAAAGCACCACCGTTATTTCCACCATTCCCGGTCCTGGCGAGACAACTACAGTCGTCTCTACCATCCCAGGTCCAGTTCAGACAACGACTGTGGTATCTACCGTTCAAGCTCCTGGCCAAACTACCACTGTTTTTTCCACGGTTCAAGCTTCCGGCCAAACCACCACGGTTGTGTCTACAGTTCGCGGCCCTGTTGAGATCACGACTGTTGTTTCAACAGTTCAAGTTCCAGCTTCGACCACTACAGTCATTTCGACTGTCCCAGGCCCTGTCCAGACACAAACCGTCACCACCACAGAGGTTGGGCCAGGACAGACGTCCACTTTCACACGTACTCTCACAGTGCCAAACGGCCCTCCATCCACAGTGACGACCACAGTATCCCAGCCTTGCGGCGCTGGGCAGACAGTCACCGTCACTGGACCAACGTAAGTTTCATATTCTTGAAAGCACTGTCGTCTAAAATTGCCATCGTTACGGCCCCTCGATCCTCACAGCAGGCTAACGGGTATTTTCAGGACGACTGAGAACTGTACGAACATCGGTCCAGGCCAGACTGTTACAGTCGCCGGTCCCACTGTTACCACCGGACCTACCACGTAAGTTTCTCTCTCACCTAAAGTTTTATCATCTTTGGACGAATTTCTCTTTCGACGTCATCAAAGCTAACCACGACTCACAGCACGATTACTACTACGGAGAGATGCACCAACGTGGGACCAGGGGCTGCCTCAACCTGCGCCACCATCACGAAGTGGTCGACAATTGGAGGCGGATATGGTAGCGACTACTCAACTGACACTGCTGGCGCCGCTTCGACCTCAGGCTGGAGCAAGTATGGATGGAGAAGGCAGTGATAATGTTAACGATTGAATGCAGAGATGTCAAAGACGAAGAATCGGATGAGATACTTCAGAAAAAAAAACCATAAAGGGTAGACGCCTTCCTCAAGACACTGTTTCCACTCTTGTCACTCCTTCAGTGTCGAGGCAGGTTGAACAAATTGTTGGGACCAACATACAGGATATAATGCAAATGTGAATGTTGGTTTATAGGTCTGAAACTACACGCTAACTGTGGCTCTTAAACTTTGTTGCTTTCCTTCCGTCTCGCTCGGGGGACAATCCACTGCCCTCCCATTCAATATGTTGATGCAAAACGCACAACCGGCAAACGCGATCAGAATCAGAGACACACCCCAACCACCAGTACAAGGTACTATTCTCATGGCATGAGCAATAGCGGGCGGCAAATGGCCAATATACTAGGATCAGTGTATCGATGCATCTACTTGTAGTGCCGTGAAAAGGCAAATAACTTATTCTTGCGAAGGCTTCAGGTGGCATCTCCTGATGCGCTGCGCATCCAAACCGCAAGCGGCGCCACCAGCGCCTTGGCAGATATGACGTGTTTTGCGCACATGGTCGGAATCGTGATTGGCGGGGCGACAACTGCGGCCCAAATTTTCTACCGTACCATGCGCTTCTCGAACCTTGCCAACAAAAACCACCCTTTACAAGTCTGAAAGGAATCTTGTATCCTTTTCCTTCTCTATTATTCTTTTACCCAAGCTACATAACCCAAGTGCATCGCTCTCCAAGCGCTTGCCAGTATCAACGAACCAGACTACATCACACGCAGTCATCAACTTGACGGGAGTTAATCAGTTTTTACCCCACCAAAAAGCCTTTCCTTCGTCGCCTAGGGACCGTTCCCGATCGATTCCTTCATTCATACCTCTTCACCATGCCCGTCTCCGCTTCGAAAGCCGCCCGCCTAGCCAAAAAGGCTGAAAAGGCCGCTGAAAAGGGTGAAAAGCCCGAAAAAAAGACCGTTGCCTCCAGGCTTTCCTCGAAGGCAAATTCCAAGAATCCCTCGACAAACGGCTCGAAAGCCTCGTCAGTCGCCGGTGATGACGACCCACCTATGCTGGATGAGGACGAGGAAGATGCTCCCGCCACGAGCGCTGACAAGATGGACAAAGTCAAGAAGTTGACTGAGCAAATGGATAGGCACGGTCTCTCCGATCGAGTCACAACTGGTGTGCTTGCTTCCCAAGAAGCAAGTCGGGATGTCAAAATCAATTCCGCCTCTCTTGTCTTCCATGGTAAGGTGCTTATTACCGATTCCACCATCGAGGTCAACTTCGGTCGAAGATACGGCCTGCTTGGTGAGAACGGCTGTGGTAAGTCCACCCTACTCAAGGCCATCGACAAGCGAGAATTCCCATTTCCAGAACATGTCGATATCTACCTGCTAAATGAGGGTGCGCCTCCAACGGACATGGGTGCTCTCGAGTGGGTCATCAAAGAGGCTGAGAAGGAAGTCAAGAGACTTGATGATCTAGCTGAGGAGATTTTGGAAAAGGAGGGACCTGAAAGTCCCACACTCCTAGAAATTTACGAGGTAAGACTGCTGAAACGAATCCGAAGATACATATACTAACGGCCAATAGCGTTCAGAAGCCATGGACCCGAGCACTTTCGAAGTTCGAGCCTCCCTTATTCTCACTGGTCTAGGTTTCAACAAGAAGACCATCCACAAGAAGACCAAAGACATGTCTGGTGGTTGGAGAATGCGAGTGGCGCTCGCTAGGGCTCTCTTCGTTAAGCCATCCCTCCTCCTGCTGGATGACCCTACAGCCCATCTTGACCTCGAAGCATGTGTGTGGTTGGAAGAGTATTTAAAAAAATGGGATAAGACTCTGATCTTGGTCTCGCACTCGATGGATTTCCTGAACGGCGTCTGCACGAATATGATCGACATGCGACACAAGAAACTACTCTACTACGGCGGCAACTACGATTCCTACGTCAAGACCCGAACCGAGCAAGAGACCAATCAACAGAAGGCATACCTCAAGCAACAGGAAGAAATTGCTCATATTAAGAAGTTCATTGCTTCTGCCGGCACATACGCCAACTTAGTTCGGCAGGCAAAGTCAAGGCAGAAGATCTTGGACAAGATGGAAGCGGATGGATTCATTCAACCCGTCGTTCCAGATCGAGTGTTCACGTTCAGATTTGCCGATGTCGAAAAACTCCCCCCTCCAGTCCTGTCCTTTGACAATGTCACTTTCAGTTATTCTGGGAAGCCGGAGGACAATCTTTATGAGAACCTAGATCTGGGCGTGGACATGGACAGCAGAATGGCCCTCGTAGGGCCTAACGGTGTGGGTAAATCGACATTGCTGAGAATCATGACCGGTAAACTCTCCCCTACCGGCGGCTCGGTAAGCAGACATACCCATTTGAAACTGGGACTTTATTCGCAGCACTCGGCCGATCAACTCGACTTGACCAAATCAGCACTCGATTTCGTCCGAGACAAGTATTCTTCTACGTCTCAGGATTACCAATATTGGCGACAACAGCTTGGCCGATACGGACTCTCCGGTGATGCGCAGACTGCATTGATGGGGACACTGTCCGAAGGTCAAAGATCTCGAGTTGTCTTTGCTCTCCTGGCCATCGAGGGTCCTAATATGCTCCTTCTGGACGAACCTACCAATGGCCTTGATATCCCTACCATCGACTCCCTTGCTGACGCTATAAACGCCTTTTCCGGTGGTGTCGTGGTCGTTTCTCACGATTTCAGGTATTTCCAGCCCCTGCCAAACATGATTCATTGAACAAGCTGACTTTGTTGCAGATTGCTTGACAAGATCGCCAAGGACATCATGGTGTGTGAAAACAAGACTGTCAGACGGTGGGACGGGACGATAGGAGAGTACAAGAACTACCTCCGGAAAAAGATGGTTTCAATGGGTCAGGTCTGAGCTTCCATCCCTGCACTGGAAGCCTGATCCTCTTTTCTCGCCCGTCCCTTTTTCCTCTAAGGGTTCGAAAAGGCACGGTGATATTTTCCTCTTCGATTTGATCTGGAATACGATGTGGTGGTCTGCCACCTGATGGATGTTTATGACTGATGTGCACCATCTTTGTTACTGAATCCATGCAGACAAAAGACCACATGGCCCTGCAGGCGTTGAGGATAGACGGTTGTGGATTGGCATATTTTGATTGAAAGTAGAAGGGAACGAAGAACATCAGGGTACGCTCCGTGCACTGTACTCTGAATTCCGGTGTCTTGTCTCCCTCGAATTCATGTCATCGTACCGGTATGACACGGAGAGACCGCCGGCCGGAGCACATGTTTGTTGAAGAGGCTCAAGATCGTGGACGACGCATCTGTTCTCCACCTTCAATGTTCGGCCGGATGTATGTACGGCTGAGGCCTTCGCGATAAGCTCGTCGCTTGAAGAGACATAGACCAAACTGGAAAGGCACAGTTTCTCATCGGACACAGTCGTTGTTTTCCATTCCAAAGGGGCTCCCCACTTCTCACGAACTTCTGTTGGATCAGGCGCTTGCAAGCACGCCCGCGCCATGGAATCCATACAATGGTAAGAGGCACACGCGTCCAGATGAGGAGAATTAGTCAAGTACATGTACATAAGACGGCATCAACTCCGCATCTCATCCTCATCTCCGCGCTACATGATGTACGGCAGACTCCCAAATACCAGAACTGGACTTCATACTTTGATTCAATTCTGCATCTGAGAGCATCTGCAGGCATCACACTATCTATTCTTCCTTTCTTTCTGCCGTCTGGATAATCCATCCTGTTCTTTTTCCATCTTCATTTCGGCCCGTTCCCGTTCCTGGCACAGAGATTGGACGAATACAGCCACCATGGCCTCCCTCAGTAGTGGCGAACAGCACAATCCTCGCCCGGTCCAAGTGACGAGGGCCGATCAGGTCAAGACAGGGCATGGGCAGACGGATGGCATGATCCGGCAGGTATGTGCAATCGCATTTGCTTTGACGATCAGTTTGCAGTTGAATCCGGAAGGGGGCGCCATTCAACCAGAGAGGAGCCAATATGGCAGAGTTTGGGAGTAAGAGCGAGTGACTGGCAACAGAGCTTCGTTGTGGCGCCCCGAGATCTCTGTAAACCGTAGAAAAGGGGCTCATATGGTCATAAGCCTTCTACCCAGATTGGATTGGGGAGAGAAGAAAGGATTAATGCCTACACAAGCCAGACGTGCAAAAGAAGATGCATTAGATGAAACCTCGAAGTCTTCTATACCCTGCCTTGCATCACTCCTTTTCCTCGCCACCTCATGTCCACGCTCAGCCCTCTTTTTCTTCACTATCTTACAGACTGACTGACTCTTACGTGCAGTCCGCTATCGTCGAGCTATCTCCTTCCATGTGTGGCACGTTAATGCGTGCCCAGCCGCACTCCGCTTCCGCAGTCCACCATCACGGCACACAAGATACCATCGTCTACGCTGTCAGCGGCTATGGCTCCCTTGTATCATCTTCGGGCAAGGGAAAAGACGGTCCGTTTGGGGACGTCAGGCAAGATCTCAAGCCAGGAGATTGGGCACTGATCCCTGCATACAGGGAACATCAGGAGGTAAATGATGGAGACGAAGAGGTTGTCTGGGTCATTGTGCGGGCGCCGGGAGGAATTCCAGTCGTTGAGAACTTGAACGGGTGGGGAGAGAGCTCGAAGACGTAGCAGCTAGAGCAGATTCAAGGGGCGAGAGCATGTCTGCTGTTGCCTGAGTTCCTCTTTCGGTAACTGTTGGGATGACCGACTATTGCAACGAAGCCAAATTCGCTCAGTTTCTACAAGTTTGTGGAGCGGGGAACTGATCTCGCATCGCTGACAAACACCCATTATGGGCTTGATTTACTAGTCCATCAGATCCTGTATCCCATCAACCTCTCACATCACTTGTTGGTCCTGTCTGAATGCTCTGCATATATGTCCGAAGCCCCGACTTCTTCATGACATCTTAAACATCTCTCTTACAACCTCCTCCCGCTAAGTGATATGCAGCAGACTCGACCTCCTAGGTTCCACTGTGGGTTTCAACCGTACCCAAGATGCGGACATGCCACTGAGTCAAACAACGGTTGCTGACACACGGAATCGGTCGGGCCACCGGACCACGAATTGGGGACTGGATGGTCAGGCGCGACAGTCGACAAAGGACATGTAAAAATCAAGGGTAGAGCGGAGAGCCAACACAAGATACAAAATGGGTGTCGTGCCCAAAAGTACCCAGTTCAACAACTCGGGCATTTGATAGGGTTTCATAGTCCGAAGTAGAGGTGTTTAATTTCCAGACAACACAGATCATGTATCCGTCGTCCGATATGGTCGGACGATGTATTGATTGAAGATCAGGGGACGGAGGCTCATACCTCGTTTTCATCATGGCTTTCTAGATCTTCATCCCCATCCTCTTCATCCATGTCGTCTCCTTCATCATCGTGTTCATCCTGTTCCTCCGACTCTCCCCCTTCGCCACCTGCTACTCCATCCCAACCAGCTTCATCAACCTCCACCTCACCTTTCAGGTCCCAGCGATCACCTTTAGCGGCCTGGCTCACATATTTGACAAACCTCAGTGTGCCCTTGTCCCTGAGCACGATACTGAATTTATTCCAACTGGGAGGGTTGGTGAACAGGATTCCGTCATCTTCATCATCTGCAGATCTGTAGACTGCAGGATCATGGACTGGCTTTTTGCCGACACTTGGTAGGGATTTTGGGTTGCTCTCACTAGGCAGCACATCTTCGTCCTCATCGCCCGCCATGTAGACTTCCTCGCCGCCGAATTCGACTTCGGGGGACGTTGAGACTTGGATCATCTCCTCTGCCGTGGCCTTGCCATTCCCCTTTTCCTTATCCTCGACTCCATTGCGGAGGGACGGACTGCCGTTGGCCTGCCCGATGATGCCAGTTGCCGGTTTGCCATTTCCTTCTTCATCCATATCTCGATCGTTTTCCCATCCCTCACTTGGCGTGATTGAAATGGTGAATTCCAGTTTCGGTGTTTCGCCTTGGTAAGGGCTTGCCAGTGCGTAGTCCTTCCCTCGTCGAAATCTGCGGGCTATCGCGCTTTGGCGGATTAAGCTGTTCGTCTTCAGTCCCGTCACGAGTGCCAGCCACTTCTTGAAAGCATGAGAGTGTATCAAGTCAGCTAGGATCCGGGAGATTGGACATTTGTCACGGTGCAGGGCCTCAGCAGTCTGGAGGTAGGCATAGCGTTGTTTGTGGGGTGGACGAGCGATTTTCCAAGCAGAAGGATGGTGAGATTTCGATGCAGGCGGGACTGCATCTCCCTCTCCGGTTTCAACCGTAGAGATGTACTCCTTTAGCTCGGCTGCAAATGTTGGATTGAAAAATTCCTCGAGCTGCAGGACCGACATGTCGGCGAATGAGGATGAGAAATCTTCGATCATGTCCGGAGTCAGATAGCTCGGTGTCATATAATGAAGCAAAAACGTCAAATCTTGCTCAGTGAGTATGTTTTCTTCAGCGTCAAGATCATCGCCGGGGTCAATCTCCCTCGCGGCAGCGCGACTGTCCATGACAATCCGCGGCTCGTCGAAATGACGGAACACCAGTTGAGGCTCGTCAAATTCATTCGAGGCACTCTTAAGCTGCGCAAGACTGGATTTCTGGGCCTGTTCCTGCTCCATGCCCTGTTCAAACCCATCCTCACCCTCCTGTGGAATGTGAAACCAGCCACTAATAGCCATGCGGATTCTCTCTCCATCCACTTCCGGATTTTGGCTGTGGTAGACTTCTTCTACGTCGTGGTAGCTCTCGCCGGGCCGAACGGCGAAGAAGCTCAACTGACCAAAGGACGGTGGAATGTTCAAGCTATGTTCAGCGAGAGGGACCTTGATCTCCTCCCCCACTTTGTTCCTTTTTGTCTCAGTAGGATACAACCTCAGCCCCCCACCCCATTCGGGTTGCCAGGGATGATCAGGGTCTGTCAGATACAAAATATAGCTGACTCTCCGGCTTCCAATCACATCATCGTGGCACAACAGATAACTGCCTGCTGTGTAGACATTGACTGCCATATCAGTCTTTTTACCAGACACTTTGCCTGCCCCCGTGACGATAGACACCCATTCCCGGAATTCAGAGCTGTAAAGAGCATCTCTCAGACGAACAAGGCTGGGCAAGTGTTCAAGGGACTCAGCATCGAGCTTGGAGAGATTCGCGAGGTCGCCGGATTGGTAAATGCGATAGATGTCGGTTTCTTTCAGGGTGAAATGGATATGGGTGGTAATTTCCTGCCGAACAGAGCGGAGAAGACGCTCTTGGATCAAAGAGGGGACGACGGCGTGAGGATAAGGCTTCGACAACCGGTAAGACTTGCGGAAAGCTTCTTGGGTATCGCGTTCGAAGAGGTCTGACCGGAAGGCCGATTGAACGCTGTTATCATCGGCAGAGATAATGCGCTTTTTCAGAGGAGACTCTCCCTCTTCGAGAGCTTTACGTTTCATCTTGCGACGAGACAATGTTCGATCCACCCAACCGTGAGAGCGAAAACAGGTGTGATAAAAGTTGGTGCATCATTTGGTAGAAGCGGAAAATATCTGTGGGATACGAGTGCGGGCGGAGCATGCTCAGACCACCTCCAACTTTTTTTCCCCACAAGGTCAGACAGCTTGACAGCAAACTACTGAGTATTAAGGTATAGGGGGCAGAACGCATTAGTTGTCCAGATAATGGTTTATTAAAATGTCCCAAATTGCGTAAGGGTGAATTATACATGCCTGATTTCATGTAATAGTCCAATATTGCCGCCAATCCCAAAGTTTGTTCAGAGGGTATCTCCCGTACGGAAAATGCGCTCAAAATACTCATTACTCGTAACTCTACCAAAGGAAATGGCAGCGATAAGCTCGACATTTTGTCGTGAGTGGCCCAATAGATCATGAAAGCTGTATCCTTGAAATGCCTTCAGTGAGAGTTTAGGGAGTTCCAAATCAAGTTTATAGCGTTACCTTCCATTTCTCCTTCTCTTTACCAATCCTGCCGAAAGGCTTATGGAACTTGGCCTTTGTGTTTGCAGCATGGTTAGCGAACTTGGGACTCGATGGCGGCGGTTGATTCACGTCTTGCCATTCCCAAGGTGTCACATCGTCACTGAGGAGCATACTTGCCCTCAATCCCAGCCGATCGCGAGAGCTGTCGGGTCGCTTCTCCAGGTCTTGTTGAATCCGCGATCGGCCTGACTCCCGGTTTTGGACTGCTGGCTCTGCACTGCCATGATCTCCGATGTCGTCGGGTAACACCAGCTCTTGAGCTTCTCCCGCCAGAAAGGCGTTGTTGAATTTTGTTCCTGATTTTTTCTTCGCGACAGCCGGCGGACTCAGCACACCAGGTCCAGAGGACACCAGAGCCGCTTTCAGACTAGTAATCTCGTTTGCGCCTTGTCTCGATGGTGAAAGCGGTTCGAGGTGTGAGGTAATGGGCGGGGAGGCGTCCTGAGAAGATCCGAAGGCTGAGATAGGGTACAGCGGAGAAAGTTTGACGGCGGGCAAAGATTGGGACCGCGCAGACTCCATCCGAGTATCAATATAGCTAGACTCAATTCCGATAGCAGCGCCGGCAGGTGACTTGGAAGATTCCTCCTCTACAACCGGATGTCGATTCGTAATGAGAGACTTTGGGGTTTCATCTTCGTTGATAGTTGATTCTGCAGATTTCACGCGACTGGAAGGCAATTGGCCCGTAGCTATGGGGCTGCGTGACTCCAGTGCCACATCTTTGCAATGTGGATATTGTGATCTTGTACCAGCCGAGCTAGATCCACGACGCGGATGAGAGAGCTTTTCAGAGAGGCTTTCGGTCAGGCTAAGTGCGGAAGGTGGTGTTAGTGACGGGGAAAAAGTCGAGGCATCCGTTCTTTGCTGCGATGCCAGGTCGCCGGATGAGCAGACCGACAGGGCAAAAAAGCGCGTACGAGAGGATGCGCCCTGCGAGCCACTTGAGTTGCCATGAGGACCAAAGGAAGAGCCGGTTGTTGAACTCGAATTGCGGCTCCCCACATTCGTGCGCCGTTTATCTTTCCCATCGC